GACCCCCCGAGTTCCCCAGCCGGACCTGCAGCACCGGCAGCAGGTGAGCAGAGCCCCACTGACCCCCCGAGTTCCCCAGCCGGACCTGCAGCACCAGCAGCAGGTGAGCAGAGCCCCACTGACCTGCCGAGTTCCCCAGCCGGACCTGCAGTGCAGACAGGGGGATGAGCCACCGGAACTTGAAGGGATCCAGATCGCCGTGGCTGAATGCCGAACGTGCATTCGTGTGCTTTGAAAAGGCAAGGGGAAAAAAAAACGGGTTTAATGTTTTTTTTAAATAACGTAACAGTAGTGTCCAGAAAGCTTAGAGAGGCAATGAACAGGAAGGCTTACCATCTTCTTTTTTAATTTGCAGCTCTCTCGGTACACTAATATCACAGCTTTCTTGAAGACTGAGGAGAGAAACAGAGCATTAAATTTTTACCATTTCCATATATCTTATTGTACTACATATTGGTATAACAATATATCCTTTTCCGCTCTTTCAAAATTTACGATAACTGGACTGTACAAAGCACATCAACAGCAAGAGGGGCAGCTTCTCCAATGGAAAGACTACAAATACATAACACATTTTGCATATACAATTGATTTAATGAACCTCGGGACTGTAGAACTAGAATACAAGTATTGATAAACACTTAAGATTACTGAAGCGCAACATGTAATCTCTAAATTGGATCCCACTGAAACTTTTTCAAATGTTAACTTTTGGAAGTTGCTTAGTCAGCTAGTGTTGAGAGTACCGGTCTGCTAATTTCTGTTGGCAAACTTACCAAAAACAGTGAGCTCAGGGTCCTTTCTCATTCGGCCCAGCGATGGGAACGGGTTCAGCCAAACCACAGAGGAATGCATAAGGAATTCTCCCATAGAAATTTCTGTGACCTGGGGAATGAGAAAAAGATCTGACCATCGTTGTCTTTTCTCCATGTGAAGGTATGCTTTTAGCTCCATATACTGTATGTAGCGCCACACCCACAAATTAATAGCAATTGGGCTGATCCTTTTATCAAGAGTGATTGACATTTACCCGTATCTTCTGTGAGACTTCAGTACCCATTTAGACAGTGGATTTTGCAGGAGCATTCTGGGTAAAGTATGCAGTACCTACATGGGTCTGACCATTCGGTCAGGAGGTTGAAGCCACCGCTGGCTCATAGCTTGTCCAGGGAGGTACTAGGTTTCCGGTGTCGTTATACATACCTCTTTTTCAGCTCCACTTTGTTCTGCTACCAGCTGGTCAAAAACAGTCCCGTAGTCTTCATAGATCTTCTGCATCTCGTTTATATGGCTGGCTACCTTCTCCATGGCCTTCAGCGCTTCTACAAACAAGCACGGCGGGAAACAAACGGCATGAGGAACAGCCTCCTTCTCGCCACAGCCGTTACACCCGAAAAACTATTTCTGGCAGAACTGGGTCTTTCGCTATTTTACTAAGACATTAAACGGGGGAAAAAATGGAAGCCCCGTCTGGCGAAACGGCGAAACGCGGTTTTAAGGGCGTGGGCATGTTTAACGACGTAGCTCGGTGGGGACGCCGCGGTTCGGAACCGCGTACCTGTGAGGTGATAGTGCTCCTCGCTGTCCCCGTCCGTCAGGGAGACGAGCTCTCGCAGAAGCAGGGGGTACTTCAGCACCCTCTGGACTGGCTTGATGAGATACGACTCCAGGGTGGAGGAGTGCTGCTTGGTTGGGTTCTTCGCATCCAGAAATTCCTTGAAGGCCCGGTCCGTTTTGGCTGGGAATGCCGAGGATAAACCCGGGTTAGAATTCGGGAATTTGTGGCCTTTAAACCATTCCCAATTCAAATGCTCACATATAGCTGCACTGTGTGATATTTCAAAAATATTAAATCGCCCAACACTTTTATTTATGTGCTGAAAAAAAAAATGAACTGCTCTTGAAAACTGAGAAAACGGCACTAACAGCAAAATGTTTCGTTTTCAATAATTATTTTTCCTCCTCCCAGGTTCTCCAGAAAGCTCTGGATTGGTAGTGCCGGATTTCCCATTAGACACTGCAGGCACAGAGCCTAGGGCCTACGAAAGAGTGAAACAGTAGTGACTAATGAAAAACGAGCTAAAACAACACGCATGCGATCAACTCTAGGGGCTCCAAATCACTCATCACACGCTCTCTAGTGGCTGTTCTAGAAACGAGAAGTATGGAAGTGATGGTCGCTCGACTCGCTCCATCAGTCAAGGGGTTTAGCAGGAGAATAGTTTACAGTGCATCATGTCAATCGACGCCATTCAATTGGCGTTTACCCCTCTTTGTGCACATTTCAGAGTGAAAGTGCCCGGGGCCTACGGACACCAGGATCCGGCCCTGTGTATTGGTTTTATTTTTTCTAAAGGTGAAGTGTCTGCATATGCCTTTGGTACAAGTTAAAAAGCTCCTTTAGAAATGGCATGAAACCTCTTTAAAAAATGTCCTGCTCTTTTAAAAATTGTATGAAATTGAAGCAACCCCAGGAAAAGCAAAAGCCAATTTATAACCTAATAAGATACTCAAAGTGAACACTGTGCTTGAAACCATAACACTTTTTACCCACACGAGGGCACAGCAGCCCATGAAAAGACTAAACATTTTTCTGAGAAAAAGTAAGGCATCCTGGGATATTGCAGTTTATTTTCATCCGACCTCCTAAATCACTGTGACTGAAAGCCGTTTTCTAAGCAAATACATAAAGGTGAAACCAAAACCCAAGATGACCACAAAACTTCCAGTTTGGCATAATGTTACAAGGATAGAGAATGGACAAACAGGACCAGGCACAAGTCAAAAGCATTTGCCCTCAATCTATGCTAGCTTAGGTTTTTCAGCGGTATGTTAGTACACAATTTATCTGAAGATCACAAACACGTAGTCTGGCAGACACTTCAACTTGCAAAAGCAATTGCAAAAACCTGCATCTGAATGCTTCAAACATTTTTTAAATGAAATATCTACAAAGGTACTTATTCACACCACTGTTAAATGTCTATTAGGCTCTATTTATAGATACATGAAATGCCATAAGACTTTTTGCTTGATCATTTCATTAGTGTCCACTGTTTCAGTATTGGTTTAGGGGAATACTGAATGTTGGGGTTTGCGTATGGGCTGCCATGAATAATCACATCCTTAAAGGTAACACACTCCAAGAAGACACTCCACAAACCTCGAAACTCCAGGACCGTGATACCCCATACCTATGTTAACCTTCTAATACATGGGTTTATCTTGGGTTCGGATACCCAAGAAGAATGAAAATCAGGCTTTAAATGTTTTTTTAGGGTTCTGTGACATTATTTGTTCCAACTAAAATGAGAAAAAACAAAATACAAACAAGGCTAACAACAGAAGTCGCAGCCTGGAGCTACCCGAGCAGAAGAAAATGTGCTGTCCCCGTAGGACACAACCATACTGCGATGTTGGCTACAGCAGCACTAGGAAGTTATGCTACACTACTTACAAACTAATTCCACCTGAAGAAGGCTCCACGGCCGAAACGTTGTGTTCTCTTTCTTCTTTTTTTCAGCATGGAATAAACCTATTACTTGTTCCTTTGCAGCCTACGCATGCTGACGCAGCTACCCACCTGAACTACTACATTATAATATGACTCATGACACTCATGGAACTTTTCTTCAAAAATAGCACAGTCACATCCGCCACGGTGAAAACCCATTTCGCTCCTACAGCGACAACAGAACCGGTCTGGTTTTAGGCAGTACCTCTCTCTAGTACTTTCTGGACCTTGATGTGGTTCGCACAGAACCCACTGTAGAGCTTGAAATGATCAGCGTAGTACAGGAAGGATCCTCCCAGGGAGAACAACAGTTTCTGAAACAGAGAAGTGTGTGTTAGACACAGCAAAATCCCCTCAGTTAAAAGATATTATTCTGTGGAATGTTCTGGTATCTTTGGGGGGGGGGAGCACTGAAAGGAATTAGCATTTGGATACGCACAGAATCCTTACATCCGCATTCAACGAAACCCTGCAATTCTTTGACATAGCTTTCTCTGAATAAAGCACCCACCTAATGTCTAACAACTGACTTGGAGGAGTGGATGGTAAGCACTCATGGATTCAGCCACAAGGGAAACATGCAACATC